GTGATTTCTTGTCATCTGATGGATGGTGTGTTTCTTTCTAATTCTTTTAGTTCAATCTGAATGTTCAGGAGCAAGCAGAAAGAGGTGATCTGGAATCTCTTTGCCGTTCTGTTGTGATCGCTGGTGCAGCAGATTCAGTAGATAGAGGAATACATTAACCCTAATAATATTTGGATGTTTAGCTACAGTGCCCTTAGATCCGTCTAGAAACACATTAAATGGATATTGAAGAATGGAGAGACAAGAAAAAAGAAAATGAAAAATAGAGAGAGAAACAAGAATAAAGGAAGAGAAAAAAAAGACAGAAAAAAAATGAAAAAAAAATTGTAATTATTGTTTTTCTTTAAAAAAAAAAAATAGAAAACCATGCAGTGCAATTATTGTTTTTCTTTAAAAAAAAAAATAGAAAACCATGCAGTGCGTGCACAGGAGCCATGAGGAATCTTCTTCTGAAGAAAGGCCTCACATCTCTTTCCTGGGTAGGAGGACCAGAGGGGATTATTAACAAAACAAAAGGTGGAGCTGAGAGCAAGAGAAAAACTTTACCTTTAAAAAAATCATAAAAAGGAAAAATTACCAAAAAATGAGAAGACAGAAGCAGAGAGAGACAGAGACAGAGACAGAGATAGAAGGCCAGAGGGGCTCCCTACCATGCTAGCTTGTTTGCTGGAGGCTGAATTATCAGTAGAAAATCTTCATTTCTCTTGTCCCCTGAAATAACTAGTTCACAGGAGCCATGAGGAATCTTCTTCTGAAGCAGCCTCACTTTTTTTTTTTTAACATTTTGCTGCAGGGTGCATATGCTCACCAGAAAGAGGGTGAGAAATCACCCCACAAGGGGAATGGCCTGCCACAATCCCTTCTCCATTCCCCTCTTGGGATTTTGGTCATGCAAGCACATGTGCCCACCTTGATTCAGTTGGCCATGTGGGATCCAACACCTTAACCTCCATGCCTCCTGATTCTAGCTTTAAGTTATAAAAACCCAATTTTCACCAAGGTAAGCCTAAAAAGGAGAAGTATTACAAGGATAAAAATCTGTGTCACCTACAGTAGTTAGTAACTACCACTTATTTCATAATCACATTTATAGTCACCTAAGAAACAAAAGTATTGATGGTGAGTATAAAATACTTAAAATAAGTATCATGCAATTTAAAGAGTCAGCTTTGAACAATATTTTATAGATAGCATTTGTATGACTGTGATGTTAATGACACCATACTAAACTATATATTGTATTATTTTTCCCAAGGAATAAACTCGATGCTTTGAAATGAGTGAACAAATAACTCTACCTAAAATGATCAAAGATTGGACCAAAGAGCATGTGAAGAAATGGGTAACTGAAGACCTTAAGGTTGATGAGAAATATGGGCAGATTCTGTACAGAGAAGAAGTGTCAGGATTAGTTCTGCAGGAATTAACTGAGAAGGACCTTATAGACATGGGGCTACCACGGGGTCCAGCACTTTTGATAAAACGCATGTATAGCAAATTGAATAATACTTCCCCTGAAAGTGACAATCAGGATTCTGGACAGTTAGATTATACAAAACCTTCCATAAAAGAACACAAAAAAGTCCCAAAACAGACAAAAAAGGAAGAGGAAAAATCAATATCATCCAATATGAATTATGATCTTGGAGAGAATGGTGATAACAAAGAGCAAGAATCAACTCTTATGAAGGAAGATGCATTAACTGAAGTAGTAAATACTAAAGACAAGAAAAAGAATAAGCTCAAAACTGAGCAGTTGACTTGTATGCCATATCCTTTTGATCAGTTCCATGACAGCAAACGTTACATCGAACATTATATTCTGCAACCTGAAACAGGACCACTCAATCTCATTGACCCGATACATGAGTTCAAAGCTCTCACAAATACAGAAACAGCCACAGAAGAGAGTATTAAGATGAAATTTAGCAATGAAGTCTTCCGATTTGCATCGGCTTGTATGAATTCACGCACCAATGGCACTATCCATTTTGGAGTTCTGGACAAACCCCATGGAGAAATTGTGGGTGTAAAAGTCGCCAATAAGAATGTCTTCATTGATCACTTCAATCTAATGATCAAAAAGTATTTTGAAGAAAGTGAGATCAATGAAGCTAAGAAGTGTATTCGGCAGCCAAGGTTTGTGGAAGTCCTACTACAAAACAACATGCCCTCTGACAGATGTGTCATTGAGGTTGATATTATTCCTAAACACTCTGTATGTAAAAGAAAGTATTTCTATATTAAGATGCAAAGTTGTCAAAATGAAACGTGGAAACAAAACCCAAATCACTCATTGTTTATTAGAGAAGGAGCTAGCTCCAAGGATATCCTGGCCAATGTCAAGCAACGGGATGCAGAGTTCAAAGCCTTTACAGAAAATTTAAAAGCACTAGTAGCATCTAGAAAAGAAGCTGAAGAGGAATATGCAATGAAGGCGAGTAAGAAGGAGAGTGAAGGACTGAAGCTGGTTAAACTTCTCATAGGAAACCGAGACTTACTAGATAATTCATACTACGACTGGTACATTTTTGTAACAAATAAATGCCATCCAAACCAAATAAAGCACTTGCATTTTCTAAAGGAAATTAAATTATTTGCTGTGTTGGAGTTTGATCCTGAATCTGGGATCAATGGAGTGGTCAAAGCTTACAAAGAAAGCCGAGTGGCAAACCTTCACTTTCCAACTCAGTATGACGAAAAGGCAACTACCATGAGGGAGAAGATTTCCACTCTTAATCTTTACCAGCAGCCCAGTTGGATCTTCTGCAATGGCAGATCTGACATGAAAAGTGAGACATATAAACCTCTAGAACCACATTTATGGCAGAGAGAAAGAGCTTCTGAAGTCAGAAAACTAATTTTATTTCTCACAGATGAAAACATAATGGCACGAGGGAAATTTTTGGTAGTTTTTTTATTACTCTCTTCGGTGGAAAGTCCAGGAGATCCATTCATGGAGACCTTCTGTGCTTTCTATCAAGCTCTCAAAGGAATGGAAAATATTCTGTGTATTTGTGCAAGCTCACAGATTTATCAACGATGGAAGGATCTACTACAAACAAGACTGACAATAGCAGATGAATTAGCAAACCACAGTATTTCCACTTTACATTTAGAGGTGGTGAACAGTACCATCCTTAAACTAAAATCAGTGACTCAGTCATCAACAAGGTTTTTGCCCTCGTATGGTTCTTCTTCAGTTGTCTTAGAGAAAAAGGTAGAAGATACCTTGACTGCACTAGAAATCCTCTGCGAAAATGAGTGTAAAGACACAGATGTAGAGAAAGACGAAACTAAATTTCTAGAATTCAAGAAATCAAAAGAAGAACACTTTTATCGAGGTGGCAAAGTATCCTGGTGGAACTTCTATTTTTCTTCTGAAAGCTATTCTTCAGCTTTTGTGAAAAGGGACAGTTACAAAGACCTGAAAGATTTAATACATTGCTGGGCAGACTCTCCTAAACCAGTATTTGCAAAAATCATCAATCTTTATCATCATCCAGGCTGTGGGGGTACTACCTTGGCTATGCATGTTCTCTGGGACCTACGGGAAAAATTCAGATGTGCAGTGTTAAAAAATAAAGCAACCGATTTTGCCGAAATTGGAGAACAAGTGATCAATTTGATCACCTATAAGGCAAACAGTCACCAAGATTACATTCCTGTGCTTCTCCTCGTGGATGATTTTGAAGAACAGGAAAATGTCTACATTCTACAGAACGCCATTCATTTCACTTTGACAGAGAAGGGTTTGCGATATGAAAAAACACTGGTAATCATCTTAAACTGTATGAGGTCCCGGAATCCAGATGAGAGTGCAAAATTAGCAGACAGTATTGCACTAAAATACCAACTTTCTCCTAAGGAACGAAGAGCTTTTGGGGCCAAACTGGAAGAAATCGAAAAGCAGCATAAGAACTGTGAAAACTTTTATTCCTTCATGATCATGAAAAGTAATTTTGATGAAACCTATATAGAAAATGTAGTCAGAAATATCCTTAAAGGACAGAATGTCCACAGCAAAGAAGCACAACTCATTTCCTTCCTGGCTCTACTCAACACTTATGTCACAGATTCCACAATTTCAGTGTCACAGTGTGAAATATTTTTGGGAATCGTATATACCAGTACACCCTGGGAACCTGAAAGCCTAGAAGACAAGATGGGGACTTACTCAACCCTTCTAATAAAAACAGAAGTCTCAGAATATGGGAGATACACAGGCGTGCGTATCATTCACCCTTTGATTGCCCTTCACTGTTTAAAAGAACTGGAAAAAAGTTACCACTTGGGTAAATGTCAAATAGCATTGAAGATGTTACGTGAGAATTTGTTCTATGAATCTGGAATAGGAAGAGACAAATTTGAACACGATGTGCAAACTCTTCTGCTTACAAGACAGCGCAAGGAATTTGGAGATGAAACAGACACTTTGTTTTCCCCATTAATTGAAGCTTTACAGAACAAAGAAATTGAAAGTGTCTTGATTGAAGGGAGTATTCGATTCCCACAAAATGCATTCATTTGTCAAGCCTTAGCAAGACATTTCTACATTAAAGAGAAGAATTTTAGCACAGCTCTCGAATGGGCAAATCTGGCCAAAAGCAAAGCACCTAAAAACTCCTATATTTCAGATACTCTTGGTCAAGTCTACAAAAGTGAAATCAAATGGTGGTTGGATGAAAACAGAAACTGTAAAGACATTACTGTTAAAGATTTGATACATTTCTTAGAAGCTGCTGAGAAAGCTTCAAGAGCTTTCAAAGAATCCCAACAGCAAACTGATAACAAAGACTATGAAACAGAGGTCTGGTCACCACAGAAGTCTCAAAGAAGATATGACATGTATAACACAGCTGGTTTCCTGGGTGAAATTGAAGTCGGTCTTTACACTATCCAGATTCTTCAGTTCACTCCCTTTTTTCACAAGGAAAATGAATTATCTAAAAAGTCTCTGGTACTTTTTTTATCAAAAAAGGGGAACATCCCTCCTGATCCAAAAAATGAATATTATTTGGCTCTTTGCAGGTTTACATCCCACCTACAAAATTTACAATCAGATTTGAAAAGGTGCTTTGACTTTTTTGTTGATTATATGGTTCTTCTGAAAACAAGGAATACCCAAAAAGAAGAAGCAGAATTCATCTTAAGCAAAAAAATCAGTCGTTGCTTCAGGAACTACACAGAACTTTTCTGCCTTTTGGATTCGGGGCCATTACAAAGCAAAGAGTGTCAGTTACTTCAGGAAGAGAATTGCAGGAAAAAGCTAGAAGCTTTGAGAGCAGATAGGTTTTCTGGACTCCTGGAATATCTTAATCCAAACCACAAAGATGCCGCAACTCTCATGGAAAATATAGTGAATGAATACACCTTCCTATTGCGGCATAAAACAAGCAAACGGCTGATAAAAGAGAAACAGAATTCCATTTTGGCCAACATTATTCTCAGTTGCCTAAGACCCAACTCCAAGTTTATTCAACCTCTTCACCTACTCAAAAAACAACTCCGAGAAGTCTTGCAACTTGTAGGACTAAGTCATCAATACTCAGACCCTTATTTCTTGGCCTGTCTCCTGTTCTGGCCAGAAAATCAAGAACTAGATCAAGACTCCAGACTAATGGAAAAGTATGTTTCCTCTTTAAGTAGAACCTTCAGGGGCCAGTACAGGCGCATGTGCAGGTCGAAGCAGGCAAGCACACTTTTCTACCTGGGAAAGAGGAAAGGTCTCAACAGTCTTGTTCATAAGGCTGAAATAGAGCAATACTTCAGTAAAATACAGGATACAAATTCCCTCTGGCAGAGTGGAGATGTGTGGAAAAAAAGAGAAGTCAAAGATCTCCTGTGTCGTCTGACTGGTCAGGCTGAAGGCAAGCTTATCTCTGTAGAGTATGGGACAGAGGAAAAAATTAAAATACCAGTGATATCTGTCTATTCAGGTCCACTCAGAAGTGGTCGGAACATAGAAAGAGTATCTTTCTACTTAGGATTTTCCATTGAAGGCCCTTTGGCATATGACATAGAAGTAATTTAAGCAAGTATATTAATTTAAATATGCTTATTTGTATTTCTGTATGATAGTATTCCCTATGTCTAGTCTCATGGCATTTCAAGATAATTATTGGCACACCTTGAACCACAGATTTGCTTTGATTTCCCTTTTAAGAACATGAAACATCTATACACAGAGCTGGGCACAAAATAGGGTTGAACTCTAATATTTTCAATATCCATTTTTGCACTAACATTTAATTAAGAAATTTCAGCTGATATCCATTGGTCACACTGTAAGTGATTAGAGGTCAATAAATTTCTAAAACTCAATTACGTTTATGAGTGTTTTGAATTGTTTCATTGCAGTAAAACAGACTTTTAGGGACCAGCAGTTAGCGTAATGGCTATGTCGCTGAACTCCCATGTAGTCGACCACGGTTTGAGTCCCAAACCTGGTGGCTTAAACTCACACCGGGTGCATGTGCATGAGTGCCCAGGATCCCAAGAAGAGAATGGAGGAGAAAGGATTGTGATGTGGCCATCCCCCCTCGGGGGTGATTTCTCACTTTCTGTCTTTCTGTCTCTCTCTGTCTTTCTGGCAAGTGCATGCACCCTATAGCAAAAACCTCTCCAAAAAAATATAGCAAGTGAAATATGTATTAATTTGCATTAGTATAAATATACTGTATTTTATTGCTATACACAATAACTCCCAAATTTTA